TCTCTGTCTCTCTCTTCTCTCTCTCTCTCTCTCTCCTCTCTCTCTCCTCTCTCTCTCCTCTCTCTCTCTCTCTCTCTCTCTCTCTCTCTCTCTCTCTCTCTCTCTCTCTCTCGTCTCTGTCTCCTCTCTCTCTCTCTCTCTCTCTCTCTCTTCTCTCTCTCTCTCTCTCTCTCTCTCTCTCTCTCTCTGTCCTGTCTCTCTCTGTCTCTGTCTCTGTCTCCTGTCTCTGTCTCTGTCTCTGTCTCTCTCTGTCTCTTCTCTGTCTCGTCTCTCTGTCTCTGTCTCTCTCTGTCTCTGTCTCTGTCTCTGTCTCTGTCTCTGTCTCTCTCTCTCTTCTCTGTCTCTGTCTCTCTCTGTCTCTGTCCTCTCTGTCTCGTCTCCTCTGTCTCTCTTCTGTCTCTGTCTCTCTCTGTCTGTCTGTCTGTCTGTCTGTCTGTCTGTCTGTCTGTCTGTCTGTCTCTGTTGTCTGTCTGTCTGTCTGTCTGTCTCTCTCTCTCTCTCTCTCTTCTCTCTCTCTCTCTCTCTCTCTCTCTCTCTCTCCTCTCTCCTCTCTCCTCTCTCTCTCTCTCCTCTTCCCCCTCTCTCTCCCCCTCTCCTCTCCCCCTTGTGCTGTATTTGCATGTTGTTATGCTGTATGAAGATATTTCTGTATTATTCAAATCTTTTAACACACCTTGTGCTGCCAGTCATTGCATGCAGGAATAGGATCTTGAGCTTAGACATAATATCCTCCATGGAGCTGCCACTCTTCCAGTCTTGGCTTATGGATGGCACATTCCACCCTCCTTATAGAGTGGAAATAATGCAAAAGCCTTTTTTAAATCTTCCTCCAAGAACTATGTGCACTCATGAAGAGATATTACCATCCAGCCTTTCCCTAAAGTTTTCATGATAGCACATTCTGGACACCCCTGCAGCCCACAACTAATTTTTTCCATGACTGCATATTCCTGTCACCTGGCCTTCAGCCAAATTTTTTTCATGATGTGACGGTCACCCAGATCCATGTGGTTAAATAACTGATTTATTTAATTATAAATTCTTATATTTTAGGAATTTGGAATATGGTAAAGGAAGCAACAATTTGAGTTTCCAGGATAACTAAACTAAAACAGTTAAAAAAAGCTTAGAACAGAGAAGACAGATATGAAGGAAACACCATCTATCTCCTGTTTTTTGAGTTGAGGTATGCCTTTCCCTTTTATAATTTTCTTTGTGTTCCATTATTTATTTATTATTTACTCTTCCTCTTGTAGATGCACATGTATGACCTCATTACATTATTCTTTAATAAACTAAGTATGATTCTTATTATTCAGATTCATCTCATTTGGATTCTTTTGTTTTTGTAACTGTTATTTGGTATCTCAAGACTTCCAACTTTCCTTCACCTTCTCTTGTCATCTGAGTCAGTAAAAGCATCTTTTCCTTACTGCTTCTAAACCTCTGTTCTTTGCAGCGGTGCTGTTTTTTCTAGAATGGGATTTTACAGACTCACAAGTATGGGAATAGGATACCTTCCATTAGTGATATCATAGGCTCCTAAACCCTATGTTTAGAAGTCTTTGGTGCCCTGCAGTCTCCCATCTTGGCAACTAAATATATTGTGCATAGATTATTATCCTGGTTGACCAGGTGCTCATTCTCCTAACTGTTTGCACAGAGGCACAAGGTCAAAGGATAAACCCCATTGGTTGCAGTCTATATGGTGTAGGATTGCTGTTCTATGAGACCTACTTTAGTGGCTAATTTCTTTCAACTCAAATCCTGCATGCACACAGACAGACAGACATACATAGATGCATGCACATGCACACACTCACACTCACATTCACGATACTCCTGACACGCATTCACCCACCCACGCATGCTTGCATGCATGCATGCACCCACCCACGCACCACACAAACCATACAAACACACACACCATACAGAGAACTATTATTAGGATGGGTGTTGAAACATTCAATAATGATCAGGACATTATGATTCTAATTTGTCTCGTTCTGATTCATGTCTCGAATAGTCATTCTGGAATTCATATGGATTCAGTGTGAGCTGATTTTATTCCTGTAAGGGATGGAATATGCCTTGCAATATTCAGATAAGCAACACATACTCAAAAGTAGTAGGAAAATCTAGGACACCAACAGTTTTATAACATTAATAACTATTTATTTAAAAAGTACTGTTGCTTGTGTCAGAATGTTTTGCATGATTTTCTAACAATATTTTTCTGTATAACTGTATACTCATACATATATGTACATACACATTAACTTGCCTTCACCAGTGTCTATGGGAGATCAGCCTTTTTTAACATGCAAATTTGCTGTGGCAAAAATGCTGTAATGTGTACAGATGAAAAAAGGTGGTAAAGATGATAAGAAGAAAGAAGAGAGTGACATTTAATATCAAGACCTAAATAAAATGTAAAAAAAATAGAAAGAAGAGTGAGTGAGTTTGTCACAGCTTACTGAAATTGAACTTAGATATGTGCATGATTTGCATACCTGAAATGATGTACATGTGACAACATATGGAGATTGACACCCAATCACACATGCAACATGCAAATACAAACATATCCATATGAATAGTCCTGTGTGTTTTTTTTTTATGCAGTATAAGTACAGGTACATACTCCTACACACATACCCACGGATACTCTCAAAACTTGATGTGCAGAACTCTCTTTACATTCTAGATATTTAAGTAAACACCCAGCCACTCAACCATTTAGTTATGTATTCAGGAAAAGGACTGGCATAGGATTAAATATGAAGAGAGGTCTACTTTTCAAAATATTTGAAATGTTTGGGTAAAACTAGTTTTCAGAATTATGTTTGCATTTCTTGTTTTTTCTTTTTTCCTCCAGGGACTTTGGGGCTTCTGAGTTAGGTGTCTTTTTATTTGTGTCTAAAATGCTTAAAATTATCAGGGATTTCATCAGTATTTATTTACAACTTTTATCACTTTGAGGTGTAATAGCTGTATTATCAAAAGTGAATACTGGGTCCTCACTTTTCTCACCACATTTTCAACTGATGAATATGAGGGCATCAATCATCATTTGATATTCTACATAATGTAATTGAGACAATCATTATCCATACTAATATTTATTTTGAAAACAACTGCTTCAGTCAGATGAAGGCACTCATATTTCTTCTTAAAAGGAATGGTATAGAAAGTGCAGACCCCATTCATGAAGCCAATATCTGAAATTAAAGGGACTGCAGAAATGTACAACAAGAGGACACACTTGAATGTTGGAAATATAATTTATTAGGATAAACAATTAACTATGCAAAATGGTATGATGAAAATGTATACCAAAGCAGATTTCAAATTCATCTATACATTATATTACCTTACTTTGAAAATTTATCATTAATGAGAGCAAAAAATATCATATCAGATAATGAGTGTAGATGGACCATACATATTCCTCCAATGGTACTTCACAAATGATTAATCAATAGAAAATGCAAAATTGGCTTAAAGTAAACAATATGCTCTTCACTATAAGTTTTATTCCCCGCCTTTGGACCCTATACACGATATGATATAGTTATAATGACAATGTCGTACACATAGTGGTATCCTCATACTGCACTTAACAAAATGTGTTAACCTGACTAGTACTCCACTTGGTTGCAACTACCATCTTAAGAACAAATAATATTAGTATTAATTATTATTACTTTATAAGATCTCTGGACTTATAGCCTACATTTAAATAGAACTAAATATAAGACTTACTTTTAAACTAATAACCCAACGAAAGACATCCTTTGGTTTTAATTTATTTCTGATCTGCAGAAACATTCGACCTTTTGCGTTTATAAAAAGAAAATACCAATAATTAAAAAATGAACAAAATTTAAAAATAAAACAAAAACACTAAATTAATTCCTTCTTTTCTATATTTTTGGAGCACCTCAGGTATGAAATTTAGATTCAATATAAAGATACAAAATTAGAAAAAAAGGAAAGAAAAAAGACAATAAAAGAAACAAGAGTAAAAGAAAAGTAGAAAAAAATCCTCATAGATCTCAATTCATTGCCAGAGATACGTATTGCAAAATCACAGAAATGACATTTTACTCTAAGTAGATATAACATACAAAAAGGAATATCAGGCCGAGATTCGTAACTTACAAAAGATAACCACCTAAATACTAACTTTAAAGATATGAGGGGCAGTTAGCAACCGGTCTCTTTCCACAGAACGTTCTTGTCTCGCTGAGGTAACAGGAACAGCAAACTAGGGCAGGATTTACTCTAAAAGTATCAAGATTTTTTTTCATCTTCATCTTTCCTAATGGAGTTATTAACTAATTTTGATACAAATTGTAACAATCCTTTTTAATTTGAAAAGGAATAAAAGAATTTTTTCCAAATTTTTTCTTTACTTCTGCCAGGGGGTTTTCTACAGCCTAGTCTGCTGATAGAATTACTTTGCCAACACACGGCCACTAGTGTGTTTGGGTACAGGACAGTCTAGGCTGGGCTGCAGGCTACCCCACAAAACCTACCAATCTTATTGCTAGGCAACCAGTTCAAGAACAGCATACAAAACCTGTATTGCATGACCAATGATCATGATTATAAATATATATAAAAAAACAAACCAACCCAAAAAAGTACAAAATGAAAACCTTACAGGCACAACTCTTGTTTTCTTTTCTACTTTTTGACCTTGATAAATTACCAAAAAAGGGGGTAAACAAAATGTTATATTACACATTTGAAGTTATGGAATTCCTTTCTCCATTGCTAGGGGCTTGAGCTAAGGGAGTGCCCACAACCTAGCCTATATGTCCTTGCTTGAGATGGTGGACATGTGCTGGCAAAGTGTTCAATTTAAAGGTCACTTGTCTCTACAACACACATAATAGGCAATTATGTAGGGAAAACGACAAAATGCAGCAAAGCTACTGACCTGCATGTCAAAATAAAACAAAACAATAAAAGATATTCCTAATTAAAATAAAGACTGGCAACAAACCATCAGTTTTGTTCACTTTTAGAGAAGAAGAAAAAAAATATATAGCATGGCAATACAAATATACTTGACCAATGCTCTTAAATCCAACCTTTACTAGAACACAAGTATTGTCCATACACTGGATGAAAATGACATATGGAAATAATCTTCAAAAACCAATAGATTGTTCTTTAATATGCAGAAACTACTAACATAATAATCCTTAGAAAATGGCTTCGTTATCTTGTTGTAAGGCATAGAATATTGGACAATTCTAGAAAGGGCACTTAATCAATTATGCAGTAAGAATAACTTTAACCTAAGAAAGGAATGATCACTGACTTTGTTACACATATTCTTTACATTACTTTCTAATAGAATATGTATATAAGGGCCCTCTAGAAAAGCCGACTGGCCAGCGTTTCAGATGAGAAGATTCCATAATAAAAAAAAAATCAGTAATGATAATGATGATAATAATAATAATAATAATGTTAACAATAATAATGAAAATATCAATAATGAAAAATTATAATGAAATAATGAAAATTATATGTATATACCACACAGCAAGAGATAACTACAGCATAAAGGGTCCTAATCATATACACCACTGAAATGTTTCATCTCGCTATAGACATCATTGTAACGCCTTCTCACCTGAAATCTACTTGCCTACTGATATGTACTAAAAGAACATCACCTGTTGAGCTCATAACAGCTACAGTTTTCAAAATGGACGGAGAAGTATCAAGCTGTGAGTTTCAAGTCTAAGCTGGGGACCATGTACATAGTTATGTGCAGAAGGTGGGCATTTCCTCACAAGGCAGCAGAAGGACACCAAGTTACCTGTAAGATCACAGTGGGTACTGAGCACAAGAGTCAGGGCTGCCTTACTCGTAGTTTTTATTTTTATCTTTTTTTTTTTTTAGTTTTTTAAAAGTTTTTTTAGTTTTTTTTTCTTTTTCTTTTTTTTTATGTTTTTAGTTTTACAACCTTGAGCAGAGACCTCCTGTCTTCTGCCAAAAAGAAGTGCCTGCCCAGGGAACAGAAATTTAACAAGAAATTGCATCTTTGTAATTTTGAGAACGGCAGACTCTTCTTGCTATGCTTTAAAACTATTATGATCGAATGCGTAACAAGTGATGTTATGAGTATGACAGACTCCTGGACAGGCTACTTGTTTCTGCAGTGGTCATACCAATACCTTTTCTGCATCTCCTCAGTTCAGACTTGAAAAATAACCCACAAAGCTTGAGGGTATATAACCACTGGGGTTCATTCAGCAGACAGGACACGGGGCATGAAAAAGCAACAGCTTGTTGTTTGGTGTGCCCTGGCCTACATACGGGGGCACACAGGTTCATCACTTAAAGCTTAACACCCATCCTAATTATTTTTTAAAATTCAAAATCCTGTAATAGGACATCACAAACTCAATTATGGTAAAGTTAATGAGAAACGTGTATGCCTCCTAACAAACACTGAATACATACTACAATATGACAAAACAGATATGTATATTATATACCACATTCAGCAACTGAGACAGTAATATGGACTTGCCCTACAATAACATCAAGAATCTTCACACACCACAAGCTTCGCCTCAGGTATTACGGTACAACATAACATTGTCTGTAAAGTTTCATACAGGCATCTAATAAAGAACAATAGTGTAAACAGGATATTTCCAATGTTAAAATGATATGTACCTGTTCTTAATTTTAGACTTAGTCTAGCAGGGCAAGTCCTGGTCAAACAGTCAGCCTCTTCTGGCTGGTATGTACTTCATACATATTATGGTTTCAACATCAACAACCAAGACTGGGGTATTGGAACGGAATATAGAGGCAAAAAATATGGACAATCAATATTTTCTAACACTGTAGCAGAATAGTGTATTACTATATACAAATAACAACATGAGGGTGTGCCACAGTCATTCTATGGGACTGCTAACCTTACAGTGGCATCTTTGCCACACACTGCCATTTAAACCAATCAGCTGCCATCAGAAGTGGCACACAATCACATGTTATACATTATTTCATTAATTAAAGGTTTATTGCTATCAATAAACATAGCTCCATATCAACTGACACACCAAAGATATTTTTTAGGATGATATGCAAATTAAAACTATACATTTCAAACACTGGTAAACATAAAAATTCAAGGTGCAGCAGTAAATATGATATGAGCACCTTGTTTTCATGTTAAAGTGAAAAGCTCCATTATCATCAGCACTCCCAAATGCTTGCCAGGACTTACTACAGAAGCACATCTTGTATCTGGCTTATCATAGACTCAAAAAATATTTTCTCCTAATCTACTGCATGCCCATGCTTGCTGTTACCTCATCATGTGAGCAGCTCATTCTTAGCTTTGGTATAGATTCCTAGATGAACTAGAATTCTTTGGTACATAAAAGGAACAATGGATAAGGATTTGGATTCTCCTTGACGGGCCTGAGATTCCTTCTTTGTCAATGAGAACACTACTGT